GGGCAACTAAGCCCCTGGGCCACAACTACTGCGTCGGCTCTAGACCCCACACTCCACAGCAAGAGAAGCTGCCACAGTGAGAAGCTGTCACCCTGCAACTAGAGAGTAGTCCCCGTTTGGCAACTAGAGAAAGCCTATGCACAGGAATGAAGATCTAGCACAGCCAAAAATAAAATAATTAAATACATAAAAATTAAAAGAAAAAAAAAAAAAGGAAGTGTGTCTGGCACACACTAGGTACTCTATCTGTAGTATCTTATCAGGGCTGGCAAATTATGGCCTGCAGGCCACATTTAGTCCAACCTGTTATATTTTTCAACGGTTGAAAAGAATTTTTAAATTCTTTCTTCATGACATGTGAAAGCACATAAAATTCAAATTTGTGTCTATAAACTAAGATACAGCCTTATCAAATTGTTTACAAATTGTGGATGGCTGCTTTCATGTTACAACAGCAGCTGAGCAGTTGTAACCAACACAAAATCTAAAGTATTTACTATATGAGTATTCACAGGAGGTTTGCTGCCCCCATCTATATCGTCTACCTTCCTAACCATCCTGCCACAACTGCATTCTTGCTCACCTTTCCAGATGAGAAAACTGACTTCAGAGAGGTTAAATGACTTGCCCAGTGTCGCTCAGTTTCTAAACAGCAGAGCTGGGATTTGAACCCTGTTCTGACTCATACTCTCTCCAAAACATCAAAACACCACGCTGCAGGTCAAACCTGCTTAAAAGGATGACTTTTTATTATTATTATTACTTTTATCATCTTCAATTTTGTTTTTAGCTTAGGTAATACATGGACCTGGAGAAGGAAATGGCAACCCACTCCAGTATTCTTGTCCAGAAAATCCCATGGACAGAAAAACCTGGTTGGCTATAGTCCATGCGGTCGCAGAGCTGGACATGACTGAGGATAAGGACATGAACGAACCTTCTCTCCAGAAGTATTCTCAGTTACTAGTTTGGGGGCGTGTGTATGTGTGAATATCAGGAGGGAGAGAATTGAATTCATAAGCATACAAGTTCTTCATCTTGCTTTTCCTTTAATATATACTGGAAATCATTCACAGTAATACATACTTTTGGTTGCATAGCACTTTTAACACATTTAACCAGTCCATCAGTCCCTCTTGATTTACATCCTTCTTCTCTACCTTCCTCCCTCCCTACTAAAAACTAACCCATGCTGCCTCAGGGTTTATTATTAATATTATGATTAAAACAGCACCACGGAATCCAATTATAGGATGTGTTGACAGACATTGAGATTGTTTCCAATTCTTTGCTATTATAAACAATGGTGCAGTGACTGGCTGGCTGGTAAGTTGTTTTACACATGTTTAAGCACAGCCACAAGATGAGCTCCTGCAAGTGGAACTGTGATGAGGGTTATGTGCATTTACACTTTTGGTGGATACTGCCAATCTGCTCTTCACAGAGGCACCACAGAAGGTGAGTCAAGTCTAAGAGTTCAAAGGGAGGAGAGAAGGTAAAGAGATAAGAACAGCTGATGGAAGGCTGAATCACAGGGCTGCGTCTCTGCCTCTCTTTGATGAGGCAGAGAAAGCACAGCCAATAGGGGAGTCACAGAGGGTGGTCCCAGAGGCAAAAAGACCAGGACACACAGTGACAGCAAAGGGATGGGAGGGGAGAACTTCCACAGAGAAACAAGCCAAGTGGTGCAGAGGCTGCAGGAATGAGAAAAGGAAACCTCCATTAGAAGACCAGGAGAGCAGGGCCAGGAACCAACCCCAACCCAGTGGCTTGAGGGCTCACTGAGAGCTAGCCCAGGCCAAGCCAAGGGGGCAGTGAACTGGGAGGAGCCTGTCCCTCCCTCCTTGCATTTTCCAGAAAGTAACCAGCAGTCCACAAGGGGAAACAAGACAGACTGCTTGGCAGTCTACCTAGCAGAAAGACAGGCTAGCCCCACTGGCCCCAGGGTAGAAGTCACAAACAGAGTGACATATCAGACCTCGGGCCAAATCAGCAATGTGTACCCACACATGCAAGGCTGGTCCTCTCCAAGCCCCAGTTCTCAGGAGCAAGGAGCAGATGTCTGGACAGATACCACTCCTTATTTCCCACCCACAGAGAGCAAAGGGCCAGAGAAGCAATAAAGCCAGCCCCTCCCCCAGCCGTCAGGCCTCAGAACTCCCCAGGGAAACACAGTCTCCATCTTCCAAGCCACTCTTCCAATGCAAAGATGGGGAAGGTAGGGGGAGGGAGGAGGAGGAAAGAGCAGGGTGCTTAGAAGGCCCCAGTAATCTGGACTCGACTGGCCTGGCCACAGGCAGGGAAAGGGGAACAGGTCAACCCACCCTGGGAAGGGCTCCCTCAGTACAAGAACCAAAGGTTCAGAAGCCCTGAGCACTAGCCCACTTTGCCTGCCTCGGTCTACCCTAGCCCAGCTTCCAGAAGGCCATGATGGCTTGATCCTCTTTGTACTTTCAACTTCTCTAGTGCGACTCAGGTGAGAATGGACTCCTGGACACATGCACACAGGAGCCCCCATTCCCCCAAACACTGTGGTGCCCAAAATGGCCCCGGGGCCAGACCAAGTCCAAGTTCTACCCAGCACCCCATGGGACAGGAAATCCCCACTCCGTCCTGTCTTGTGCCAACCAGGCAAGTCAGGAGGTGGGGAGGTTCCCAGATAAAGATGGCTCTGACCAGCTCAGCTTCCTGACCAGACCCCAGAGTTTCAGGTGTCGGCCCTGCCATGCTGGCCCTCTGATGGGTCCTGTCAGAGCCGGGAGGGCAGGCAGCTCAGATCACTTAGGTCATCACCACCTACACTCCCTGTTGCTTCCTTGTGAAACAGGCTCAGGCCCTGGCCCACTGGGACTCAGTAGCCCAGCCTAGCCTGGAGACAGTGTTCCCCTCCCAGAATCTCCACTCAACCTCTTCTCAGAGATCCAGAGCTTCTGAAAGGATAGGGAGAAGAGGAAAGGCTAGAGAGGAAACTCCTTTCTCGACTTCCCAGAACTGAGACCAACCAGCCCCAGCCTGGCCCCTGGGCTCCCTAGTCTCTGGTTCTGTTGTCCACTGGGCTGTCTTGGATCAGAGACAGGTTTCTACCAGAAAGATGGTCTTGTGTGAGAAATAGCGCAGCACTGTAGGAGGTCCTGCCTGGGGTTGAGTCCCATTTGTGGACAGTGTATATTTAAGATGGGAGTCAGTTTCCTAATCTAAAAAGTGGAGTGACTACTAATAGCACCCTTTTCAGAGGTGGTTATCATGATGCCTAAGTGAGAGGCTGAGTGGCATAGCAGTTAGCAAACAGTAAAGTACTAACAGAGGTTATCAGTGTGACCCATCCCTGCCCTGGAGCCCCACCTGGCCAGAACAACATGTGGAGAGAATGGGGAACAAAGGTCTCTGGAGGAACCCCATTCCCAGCTAACTGCTCAGGCCCAGGAGGAAAGAGGAGGAGCCGTGGCCCCACTTTGCCCTTATCCTGGAAGTAAATAAGGTGAGCAGACAGCTTGGCTACTAGATCTTAAGCAGGAAGAGCTCTGCCAGGCTTATGAGCCACACGAGTATACACACACGCACGCACACACACTTGTCTGGACAACTGACTTCCTTCCCCTACCAGGTATACATACCAGTGGACTGACTCATCCAGCTACCCTCCTCACCTGGACCCCAGAGGCCTCTAGGCTACTGTGTCCACCATACCGCCCCCTCCCCAGTTGGGTCACCCCCAACTGGGCTTGTTCTTTAGACTCTGGTGGTCTGGCAGTTTTCCCCCAAACCACTAAAGACCAGTACCTGGGGAGAGGAGTACAAGAAATGCTAGAACCAATCCCAGACCCAGCAGTGAGGAGCCCAGCCTTCACCAGGTCCACTTAACAGGTCCCCAAGGTACCTAGCACAGTGCGTGGCCTGGAGTATCTATCTATCTTCTAGATAGTCACCAGGTGGCCTCCAGACAGCTCATTCCCTGATTTGGCCCATTGGGGTCAAAGGAGGAATCCCGAGGAGCTTGCTCCCACTCACACATCCCAGAGCACCCACCCACTCAACATCCTGAATTCAGGAGCCAACCTGGGCTCTAGGACGTCCCCCCTCGCCCCTCCTGTAGCCTGTTCTTTATTTACTGTTTATACCATGCCTACTTCTAAGGATGAGTTGGGATCGAATGGGACTCTCCTCCAAACTCCTTTCTGATGCTTCGCGCAGAACCCTATAACCAGTCCATTTTGTGAGTCTCCCCAGATCCTGGCACCCTCGTCCTCACCTCTGAAGCCCTGGGTCCGCAGCTCGCGGTAGGAGCGGTAAACCTCCCGCGTGAGGTAGTTGATGAAGCCCTCCCTGGGCGCGAACTTGCACACGAAGCTCTGCTCGTAGAGGCAGTTGATGAGGAAGCAGGAGACGATGGCGTCCTCCCCGCCGTCGGGCTGCAATTCCACCAGCGCCAGATTGCAGTCGTTGGAGCTGCAGCAGGCGTGCACGCAGTCCCGGCCGCGGCGCGCGGTGAGGGAGCGCAGGAAGGTGGCCCCGTTTCTGACCGAGGCGTCCGTGTCGAGCACGAAATCAGGCACCCCGGGGGTAAAGCGGTTCAAGCAGCCGTCGGCCGTGAGCAAACCGGGGGTCACCGGCGGCGGCCCGGCCTCGGCGCCCCGGAGGACGAGCGCGCAGAGAAGCCACACGGCGACCGCTGGGATGCGGGCTTGGGAGAGGCGGCCCCCGGCCATCGTCCTCCCGGGGATCGTCGCCCTCCTCCCCGCCGGGGTCACCTTCACAGAGAGGACCTCTAGGCTCCGAGGGTGCTAGCCACCTGCGAGAGGGAGGGGACGGAGGAGGAGACATCGGGTCAGCCGAGAGACTTCCAGGGAGGAGGGCCGGCCGGGAGGAAGTGAAGGGGAGGACCGGGGAGAGCGAACACCCCGGGAGCGAAGAAGGGCAGGCGGGCCCGGTCCTCCCACGCACACTTCGGTGACCCCGCAGCCGGTCGGACGGCTAAAGAGCTCACGTACCCGGACACACGCACCGGCGCAGAACAAAGGGCCAGACATGCTCCGAACCCGCTCCGCCTCCTCCTAGCTCTCCTCGGCCCGGGTTACCTGCGCAGGTGAGTGGGGTGGGGCCGGGCCTGCCGAGGTTCCGGTTCAGGTTTCCTGTCCTGCTCGGACCGCCGTTTCCGTCCAGGTGTCCGGTGCGCTGGAGATCCGGCACCTCCCCCCGTCTAGTTTCTGGTGAAACTGAGTCAGTGCGGCCGGGGCGGGGCGAACATTAACCCAGGCGTCGCCGGCCCCGCCCACGCCCGATGCGCCCCTGCAGCCCGGGCTTCCGGGCCGCCTACCCCCAATCCCTGCTATCTTCCACCCTGCTTCTGCAACCTGGTGCCCAAACAGGCTCAGGGGCCGGCGCGCCCTGCCCCGATCCCAACCTCGCGGTGCTCCATGCGCCCCAGAAGTACACCCCTATCCCTGGAGGCCCGGACACTTCGGGAAGCGCCGACGACGTCTGACACCCGAAGGTGGGTCAGATGCTCAGAGGGGGCCGACTCCCTTTCCGGTCCGGGCTAGCATTCCCAGACCCAGGCCCGAGGCGCTAGGGAAGGGGCTGGGGGAGGGGAAACGGGGGAAAGCCCGATGCAAATGATCTCGCTGTCGTGGTCAGCCCTCTGGAAGTCATTTCCATCTTGTGGCGGGAAGAGATCCCAGGAGCTGTGTGGCTGCACCTTTGATAACTGGAATCCCGGATGCCTGCTGGATTATTACCACCTTTGCCAGCTCTGGAAACCCTCCTTTCTGTTACAGTTGAGAAACCAAGAGATTTCCCCGGGCCAGATTTCCCTACTTGATCCTCAGTGGTTCCTTTTTGTTTTGAGGCCCTTCCTCATTTTGTACTAACGTTTCCGTTCGGGTCGTTGTCGGAGCTCAGTTAGCTTCATTGGCCAGCCGATCCCTTCTCTGGAGCACAGAATTTCTCTCCTCTCTCACCAGTTGGGGTGCTCCTGGTTAGGAGCTGGCTCTTTCGGTAAAATAGCATCCTTGGAAGCCAGAGGTTCCAGATCACCAAAGCAGCTGAGCCTTCACTGAGCCCTGGACTCCTTGAAACCAGGCTCATTGCTTTTCCTGAGTGAAGAACTCCTCTTAAAGACCATTCTTTACAGAACAATGTTGGTCCTGTTGATGTTCTCCTCAAAAGAGATTCCATACTGCATACCACCAGGGGAAGTACAGTGAACAGAAATCTGCCTGCCAATGCAGGGGTCACAGATTCAAGCCCTGATCCAGGAAGACTCCATGTGCCAGGAACAACTAAAGCCCATGAGCTGCAACTAATGAAGCCTGTTCACGTAGAGTCCGAGCCCTGCAACGAAAGAAATTGCAGCAGTAGGAAACCCTTACACCACAACAAAGAGTGGCCCGCAGCAATGAAGACCCAGCGCAACCAAAAATAAGTTACTAAATAATTTTTTTAAAAAAGAGAGATTCCACACCTTCACTATGACTTAACAAACCTCAGCCCAATGGAAACAGTCTTACCCACTAGGTCCTGTAGCCGACCCTCAGTCTTTGTCCCAGCTTAACTGCAACATTCCCTAGCTGCACACATTATGGGTATGGGTATTGGGTGTGGGAATCTGGAGTCTGTCTCCCCTCTGAATTTTCTGGGTTTTTTCCACTGCCCCAGGAACGGTGGGGAACATAGATGGTATGCTGGGGAATGAAGCATATGATTGTGTAGTTACTGGAAAGAAAGAATTTTGTTGATATTTGATCCATGCTTTCTTTAATACCTTATACATATAAAAATCCTAACAGATAAGACTTACCCTATGGTAATATTACTACGGATTAATCATTACTTCCATCATATATACTATTACAAAAACCTACATCTGATAATCCCCAAAACCTGTTCCCAAGTATTTCCCACACATTGCCCCATTCAGTCAAAACAAACCTAGAAAGTAGGTACTAATTTTATCCCCATTTTAAAAATGAGCAAGCAGGCTCAGACAGGTGGACAAACTTGTTAGGTCACGTGACAGATAGGTGGCAGAACCGGGATTGGAATTCAGGCAGGCTAAATCCACTGCTTCAGCACCTAAACACTGTGCGTTTACTGCACTTTCAATTCTGACTTCAGCTGGAAATTCCACACTCAGCTCAGATCAACTTGCCTTGAAAATCAACAGATTTTCAAGTGATGATCAGCTACCATTTGAGATGCCTGCTGGGTTCCAGACGTGTGACATCTGTGACCTCTGATGCTCACAACAGCTCTGAGAATAGTTTCTACTTTGCAGGGAGGCTCACTAACCTCCACCAAGGTAAGGTAGTGAAGAGTGGGAGGCAAGAGGCTATAGGGGTTCAGCTTGTGGGCTTCAGACTCAGATTACAGGGTTTAACTCTTTCATCTGCCACTTACTGTCAGTGTGTCCTTTGGCAACTTATTTAGCCCCTCTGTGCCTTAGCCTTCTTGTATACAATGTGGGACTTCCTAGGGTTAGTATGCGACTTAAATGAGTTAATACAGAGAAAACATTTGACTGAGTGCTCAATAAATGTTACCTGAAAAAAGTGACAGAGTCAGAATTTTGTCTCAAGTATCTCAGACATCAAAAACTACACTTTGGGAACTTCCTGGTGGTCCAGTAGCCAAGACTCCACGCTCCCAATGCAGGAGGCTCCGGTTTGATACCAGGTCCGGGAATTAGATTTCACATGTTGCAGGGACAATCAAAGATCCTGAGTGCCGCAAGACCCGGCACAGTCAAATAAATGTATTAAAACAAACAAACAAACAAAAAAACAACCCTACACTTTTCACACTACCTTATGCTGGTTCTAACATCCTAAAGAGAAAAACTACACATGAAGGGAAAAAGACTAAGTTCACCAAAGCCGTAAAGGTGATGGCATTTGAATGACGAAAATATGGGGTAACATTTTCTTTTTTCTAGTTTAGAAATTATTACCAAAGTTTCCTTTGGTGAACATGGAGTGTTTGCATGAGAAAAAGAAAAATACATCATGACAGCTTTCACATTCATCATATTTAGCCCCGCATTACTTCTTTTTCCACATTCTCTCCTCATCTCACTGAACCAGACACTTTGTCCCAGTATCTCTGTGCCCCCTGCCTTACCTTGGGCTTCCCTTGCAAACATCCAGCCAGCCCTGGGTGGCAGCAATCTTCTTCAGGAACTGCTCACATCCATCCTGTCTTGTCTGTTGCCACTGCTGCCCTAGTCTTGGGCTCTGTACCAGCTTGCAGATGTCCTCCAGGCCACCCTGCACATGGCATGTGGTTCCCTCCTCCAGCCCTGCCCTTCATCTGTTCAGGTCCTCAGTGACTCCCAAGAGCCTCTCTTGCAGCGTGTACAGAGCCAGCTAGCCTCTGGGTGGGCTCATAAAATTTGGTTTATGGAGAGGGAGAGAGCGTCAGAGCTATTGGTGGTCTCAGTTAAAGCCCTTCCCCTTATATATAGGAAGCTGTATGTTCTATATATAGACCCAGAGATTGGTTGTTGGTTTGTTCAGAGACAAACAGAGCTAGTATGTAGCAGAGGCCATCTCTACGCTTCAGGTCTCTTGACTGCCAATATTGGGCCCTTTCTGTGATTCTGACTTACCTTCCTACAAAGCATTTCCAGATGATATTTTCTTTTCTCCCTCTCTCCTTTTTTGGCCATGCTGTGTGGCTTATAGGATCTCAGTTCTCTAACCAGGGGTTGAACCTGGGCCACAGCAGTGAATGGCCAGAACACTAACCACTAAGCAACCAGGGAATTCCCCCAGATGATATTGTTTTCTGATTGTACGTTGCAGCCCCAAGGGAGCTGTCCAGGTGAGTTAGCTCTTTTGTTAGGCCATGTGGTTCACATTCCCTATATGAACTTGGGGAAGAGAAAGCCAGGGTTTATGCTATAGGCTTCCTTCATATTTGCAATACCTCCAGTACCAACCACTGATGTTAGGAGTGGCTGGTTTGGTGAGAACATGCAGTCCTAAACACCATACTAGAAAAGGAACACTGAGTGCCTTGTCTTGGATGGTGGTCTGGTGGTTTCTATAAGTAGGTTTCATGAACTATCTACAAAGACCGCTATCAACGATGGCAGACAGGACCTCACCTTCCTTGTAAGTGCATGCTGCTCCTCTCACCAAGAGGTGGTGTCTACCTTTCCCTTCCCTTTGAATTTGTGACTTGCTTTGACCAACAGGACAGAGAAGTGGTACCACATGGCTTTCCCACCTCAGCCTTGTGGCTGGCATTTTCCCTCTCAGAACCAGCTGTCAGATAAAGAGGTTTGACAGCCCTGAGAGAGAGAGAGGCCACCAGAGGAGAGCAAGACCGGAGGATGAGAGGTTGTGATGGGAGAAAGAGGTGTCTGGCTACCTCCCAGCCACCCCAGCTGAGTAGCTTCATTAAAGCGTTGTTCACCCTTAGCCCCAGTTGACTCTGTCCAACAGAGATTAGCTACACTTCCAAAGCCCTGCCCACGTTGCAGAATCATGAGCAAATGTATTCGTTTTAAGCCTTAAATTTTGTGCTGATATCTGTAAGCAGATAAGTTAGGGAGTCCCTGAAGAAAGAGAATCAGGAATGGCATTCTCGACATAAAAGAAGCCATTGGGGGGAATTCTGTGGTGGCCCAGTGGTTAGGATTCCTGGCTTTCACAGCCAGGGGCCCAAATGTGAACCAATTTGATCTCTACACAGGGAACTAAGATCCCACAAGCTGTGCAGAGCAGCGGAAGGGGAGAGAGAGAGAGCGAGAGCGAGAGCGAGAGAGAGAGAGAGAGAGAGAGAGAGAGAGATCATTTTGGCTGAAGTTATTTTGTGTTCCCTGATAGCTCAGTTTGTAAAGAATCTGCCCGCACTGCATGAGACCCCAGTTCGAAGAAGATCCCCTGGAGAAGGGAAAGGCGAGAATTCCTGGGTTGCAAAGAGTCAGACACAACTGAGCGACTTTCACTTTCATTTTGTGACCTAAACCTGGCCACAGTGCTTGCCCTTGAGCAGGTCTAGGTAACAAGGATCTTGAGGGAACAAAGAAAGAACAGAGAAGACAGTCAAACAATAGTCCTGTGATAAAGCAGAGTCCTAGTTCCTCCTCAAGGAATATACATAATAATATATCTTTGACACCAGCTGGTGCTAAGGCCCCCACCCTGGTGGAGGACAGAAGAATGATACTGACCCACCTGACTTCAATCCACCAAGATTTGGACTCCTGAAACTGCCCTAATTCTATGCAGAATTTTCTGCTCAAGCCTCTTCATGAATATGCATATCAGTTCAGTTCAGTTTGGGCTTCCCTTGTGGCTCATCTGGTAAAGAATCCGCCTGCAGTGCGGCAGACCTGGGTTCGATCCCTGGGTGGGGAAGATCCCCTGGAGAAGTGAAAGGCTACTCACTCCAGTACTCTGGCCTGGAGAATTCCATGGACAGAGGAGCCTGGCAGGCTACAGTCTATGGGGTTGCAAAGAATAGGACACGACTGAGCGACCAACACTTTCAGTTCAGTTCAGTTGCTCAGTCATGTCCGACTCTTTGTGACCCCATGGCCACAGTGCTTGTCCTTGAACAGGTGTAGGTAACAAGGATCCTGAACGAACAAAGAAATGTCAGAAGAGAGAAGACAGTCCAACAACAGCCCTGTGATAAAGCATGTGCATATACCCTTAGCTCAAAACGTCCCTAATTTTGCTGTTAGGGGAGAGGCTGCTCTGAGAGAGTCCCCTGGTCTCCTCCTTACTTGCTGCTATTGCTGTTGTTTAGTCGCTAAGTCATGTCTGACTCTTTTGTGACCCCATGGACTGTAGCCCATCAGGCTCCTCTGTCCATGGGATTTCCCAGGCAAGAATACAGGAGTGGGTTGCCATTTCCTTCTCCAGGGCATCTTCCTCACCCAGGGATTGAACTCACATCTCTTATGTCTCCTGCTCAGGTGGGTTCTTTACCACTAGCGCCACCTGGCAATCCCCAAGGCAAGTAATAATTTGACTTGCTGCAGATAATAATAAATCCTTCCTTCTTCCAATCTTTGGCTTGATTGTGTCTGTTGGCTTGACACGCACTGAGAAAACCCATTTCTCCAATAACTGTTTTGTGGCAATAACTGAAACAGAGGGACAGTATATTTACAGAACAATTTTTAGTACTAACTATATGATTATCTGGAGAAGGAAATGGCTACCCACTCTAGTATTCTTGCCTGGTGAATCCCATGGACAGAGAAACCTGGTGGGCTACAGTCCATAGGGGAGCAAAGAGTCGGACACGACTGAGCGACTCAGCACTAGCACATCTAGTGATTATAGCTGAATAAGTTGTATTTTAATGATCTAAAGCCCAATAATTCCCTTGATAATGCAGGGCCAAGGAATTTTGAGGAAAGTAATGCAATATTTTCAAGGTGAGGCTACTGTCAATGGTTTAATCTTCATTTAAAAGAGACAAGTCCCCTCAGATACTGCTGCAATCCTCAAAGGGCTTTATTTATTTGGCCGTGCTGCCCAGCTTGTGGGATCTTGGTTCCCCAACCAGGGATTGAACCCCAGCTCTCAGTAGTAAAAGTGTGGAGTCCTAACCACTGGACCACCAGGGAATTTCCTAAAAGGGGCATTTTTGAGAATTCTGCTAATGTCAAAAATGTTCACAATAGTTCAGTGTGGTGGATAACCTCTAAATGATCACCAGTGATTCATACCGGCCTGTATTCATGCCTGTGTGTGTAAGCTCCTCCCTTCAGTGTTGCTGGACTTAGTGATTGGCCTCTGATGAATAGAATACAGCACAGCAAGTCATGGGATGTCACTTCCTAGATTAGGTTACAAAAAGACTGTGACTTCCATCTTACCTGTCCCCTCCCTCTCTCAGGCCCCTGTCTCTGTTGGACACCAGCTGCCATGTGGTGAGCAGGCCACTAGAGAGGTCTACATGGCAGGGAGCAGGTGTCTGACCAACAACACTGGCCTGTGCTGGCTTGCACCCCTCTGAGAACCCCTGAACCAGATGAGTCGGCTAAGCCACCTACTGAAACTGATACGATAAGTACCCATTGTTTTAAGCAGGCTTTGCTGGTGGCTCAGCAGTAAAGAATCGCCTGCCAATGCAGAAGACATGGGTTCGACCCCTGGGTTGGGAAGATACTCTGAAGAAGGAAATGGCAACCCACTTGCCTGGGAAATCGCTTGGACAGGGGAGCCTGGCAGGCTACAGTCCTGGGGTAACAAAATAGTTTGACCTGACTTAGCAACTCAACAATTGTTTTAAGCTGCTAAATCTGGGGGTAATTTGTTATATAGTAATATATAACTG